GATGTATAGGAGCTCTAAAGATTAAGGTGAGCAAGTGTTTTATGGAATAAGTGAGAAGGTAATTGATAGATGGAGTTTTTTGTTAGGAGTAAGAGGTGAGTTGGACCCCTGGCTGGTGTGGCCCAGTGGTTGAGCATCATCCCATAATCCAGGAGGTTGCTGATTCTATTCTCAGTCGGGGCACATTCCCGGATTGCAGACTTGATACCCAGTAGTGTGCACGTAAGAGGCAGCAGATCATTGTTTCTCTCTTCCTTTCTCTCTAAAATCAATAATAACATTTAAAAAATAAATAAAAGCGGTAAGTTGGAACCATACTTTTGAAGGGGCTAGATACTAATCCTGGTTTCTAATTCATTTCAATACCTAGTTCTGTTAAACCTTAACATTTTGTTATATTCAGAAATTTTTGTATTTTTTTTTTAAATAACAGTTTTTTTTAACTTTTTTTTTTTCTGTATTGATTTTAGAGAGAAAGGAAGGGAGAGAGAGAGAGATAGAAACATCGATGAGAAAGAACATCTGTTGGCCGCCTCCTGCATGTCCCCCCACTGGGGATCGGGCCCACAACCTGGGCATGTGCCCTGACTGGAAATCAAACCAGTGACCTTTTGGTGCATGGGTTGACGCTCAGCCACTGAGCCACATTGGCCAGGCAGAAATTTTTGTATTTTTAAAAAGAAACATTACAGTTACAGTTGAAACTGCCCTCAAACCATATATAGAGCACATTCCCTCCAGAGATAATAATTAACATGAATTTGTTACTCTTATTTTACATTAACTGTATGCTCATATCCCCTAAACCAGCGATTTTCAACCTTTTTTCATCTCATGGCACATAAAAACTTATTACAAAAATTCTGCAGTACAACAAAATATGTTTTTTGCCGATCTGACAAAAAAAAAGGTGTAATTTTGATTAATTCACACCAGACGGCTATTGTGTTCGTTGTTGTCATTTTGTAATTTGACAATCTAAAGGAAAATACGTCAGTGCTCTGACTAAATTAGTCAGGTATTGTATGTTTTAAAAATTCTTGCTGCACACCAGTTGAAAATTGCTGCGCTAAACAATATAAACATTGTATTGTTCTGTATGCTTTAGAAGTTCATATAATGGTTTATGATGTCATTTCTCAATTGTTTTTTGTTCAGAGTTGTGTTTTTATCATTTCACTATATGGGTCAACTCTGCTCAATAGAAATATAGTGCAAGCCACATACGTTATTTTAAATTTTTTAGTAGCTTCATAAAAGTAAATAGAAGCAGGTGAAATTAATAATACACTTTTAATATCCCAGTATATCTATATAAAAAATAATTCAACATAATGAGCTTACAAGATTATTAATGAGAGTTTACATTCCTTTTTTAAACTAAGTCTTTGTTTGTTTGTTTGTTTTTATCCTCACCCGAGGACATTTTTCCATTTTTTGTTCAGATAGAGCGGGAGAGAGAGAGAGAAACATCAATGTGAAGGGACACATTGAGTGGTTGCCACCTGCACGACCAACCAGGGCCAGGGACAAACTGCAACCGAGGTACATGCCCTTAGCGGGAACCGAACCCGGGTCTCTCTGTACCGCAGGCCGACGCTCCAACCGCTGAGCCAAACCGGCCAGGGCTAAACTAAGTCTTTGAAATCCGACATTATTTTACACTTGCAGCACATCTCAGAGCTAGCCACATTGTAAGTGTTCAGTAGCCAGCCACAAGTGGTTAGTTAGTGGCTTTCACTATTGAACTCTGAGTGAATTTCTGTGATTCAAACAGAACTTAACACTTTTGATGCTTGAAGGTAGTGCATACTCCTACCACCAGGGCTCAGCTAATTGTCATGTTGACACAGCAAGAGGAAATATTTTGTGTTGGAATTTGCTAATCTGTGACTACAATGCAAAAATCATTGTGTGTCCAGTAAAGGAAATCTCTTGAAAGAACATTTACTGCTTGTAAAATAGTCGGAGCACAAAGGGTGGTGCAAATGTGATCCACAACACAGCCTGTTCAGACACACAAGGCTCTCTGTTCAGTCCTTATAAATGTACCCTCCTCCATTCTTGTTTCTATGGAATAAACTGTTAAATTTTCCCCACTACTATCCAGGGGTGTTACATTTGTCCTAAATATTCTGTGTCTTCATATTTGGACCTTAATAACTAGGTAAATTTGTTTGCTTGCCTATTTTTGTTAAGAATCTCCAGCAGGCAACATTTGATTATTGAGCCACATATTATATGCTTCTTTTCCTGTGTGTTTGTTTGTTTGAAGTCAGCTTTCCATAAGGGTCTATACTTAGATTTATATTTCTCTTATTTTCCACAGGAATACCTTCATAGAAGTGTCCCACACCTCATAAGGATTCATAGCAGAAAGTGCTTTTTAGAATGCCTTAGTTTCATATACTTTATAAATTAAAGGGATGTTTCATTATACTGTTAATATCTCTTCTATAAAGACCCAATGAAAAGCAATCTAGCTAAGAACAAAGAATTAGGGGAAAATTCTTTCCATCCCATTTATTGCTTGACTCTTAATTATTTTTCAGTGATTTGTTTTAATGTGTATTCTTTTATATGCCCACGGAAATAAATCCTTTTTGTCACAATACAAGTAATTGGTAGATCTATAATCTACTAAGGCTTAAAATGGGGCCTTGATAATATTCAGCATTCCATGGCTTGGTGACTGCCTTTTAAGAGCAGTTTTATACAGCAACTTTCTGCCACAAGGTGGGGGTAGAGAGTTCTATAGCCCTGATTAGTTAGGGTGAATTTCATGATAGCAGTCATAAGTTAACTTTCCTTCAGTTAACAAAACAATTGTTGGTACCCTTATTAACAAAAATTACCCTTAAGGTTAGCATGGTTTCTAATTTCTGCATGGTTTTCTTTTTGTTTTAATTAACACAGTAATGTTTACTTTTCTTGGTGTATAGCTCTATGAAATTTAGCACATGTATATTTGCCTAACCACCACCACCAACAGGATACAGATCAGTTCCATTATCCATCAAAAAATCCTGTTTCTGTTTGTAGTGATAATCTCCCCACCCTTAACCTGTGATGACCGCTTATAAAACACTATAGTTTTGTCTTCTTGAGAATGCCATATAAATGGAATCAAACAGTATATTTGTCACCATTTGGAATTGACTTTTTCACCCAGAGTAATGCCATTGAGACTCATCTCTGTTCTGCATGATAATTTTTAATGCAGATTATTAGCCATTCAGAAATTTATTATTAGTGATTATTTTAATAAAGATTTAAGTACTCAGTTTACTTCCAAATCCTTTTACTTTCATTACTTTGATTTAAAAAATATATTCTAAGCTGAAAAGAACCACTTGGGAAAAATACATGTTTTGATTGGGTGAATGGGAACGGAAAAGAAAAGAGGTAATTCTGGAGAGGAAGGGTTTGGTTTGGATCTGGTAGGGAGTGGAAATGGGAGAAAGAGAGGCCTGGGTGGGATGCCATAGTGGCAGGTCCTTTTATGTGGGGTAGCACAGCCTTCTACAGCTAGGAGTTTTTCACATTCTAATATTAAAGTTTTGTATATTTTTGTTAGATAGCCAATATATAGGTAGGACTGAGGATATGCCCTCTTCATTGAAAATTTGAGTGTTTACACACATGTACACATGTATATAATCTAGAATGAGAAGAAAGCATTTCATCTTGTTTTAGTGAAAACTGTTACGTGGCACCTTGGAATTAGTTTGTCCATGTCGAGGATTAAAGGATGTCCTACTAATCATAATAAGCCTGTTTATCATAAATTGTTCTTAACAAATTTTGGTTTATGCCATGTTGTATATGTAAAATTCAACAGTGAAACTAAATAAACTTTGTTAAGGTTTTCTTATAAATACATGTTCTATATGTAAATACTTAAGGCTGAATGCCCCTGGGTAAATTCCCATGTTACTATATTTGTAGACTGATTTTTCAAAAGCTCCACAGTTCTGTTTGTTTTTTATTTCAAAGTGGGAAATGCAAAGGTTATCGTATCATACTAGTAAACAGCCCTGCTGCTGTTTGGACCACACAGAACTTATGGACCGTGTAGTTTGAAGATACAAAAAAATTCTACATGGGACTAGATTTGAAAGTTGGGTTTGGTTTATGAACTAAATTTGCAGAATACAGACAATAGAGAAATTCCTTTATAACCGACATGATAACTGATTATACACATTTTTTCTTTGGTTTTTCTATAAGAATACCATTTTAGTTTCCTTAAGATTATATTTATTTGCCAGAAGTCCTGAGAAAGGTTCTTGCTTTGCTAAGGCGAATTGTTGTAGTTTGGAAGTGAAATGGTGGATTTTATACCAAAGGAAATGGTGGTAGAGTGATGCAAATAAGTGGAGAATAGTTTGGTTGTGTTCTGATTTGGTGTGATATATTTGCCATTGTATATTCTCAGTGAGAAGACAGGTCCCCATTTTCCACATGAGACTATCTCCCCTCCAAATTCTTTTTCCAACTGAAATATAAGACTTTAAAGATACCTGACACATTAAAATGTATATATATTTAATCTATGTAGTCATATGAACCATTGTATTAGATACAGAATTTAGAAATAAAATTGTTTTGTTTACCATCTCATATGATAAAATAATTTTGTTCAATCTCTGTATGTATTGGGATCCCTTTAGGATAATTTGTCTTCCTAACACAGTTGTTGTTCAGGTGACAGCGACTAGGAATATGAGTATCTTCATAAGTATTCAGATATAAGTTGACTACCTGTTTCTGAAAAGTAATGATTTGGGGATAAAACCCTTATCTAAAATCTGAACATATGATAATTCCTTATGTCTCTATTTTTTATTGATATTTAGAAGTATTTCTCAATTTTAAGTAGTCGGAGTCTTGAGTAAGCTTGTTATTAAAGTTTTTAGTTGTTAATGTGGATTTTGTCTTTTTCTTTCTTTTTTTTTTTTCTTTAAGGGGTTGGACATAATTGCCTTATTTCATTTCAGGGATCCTTCTAAAGTAAATATTCTGGTACCTGGTGCTGGACTAGGAAGACTGGCCTGGGAAATAGCTATGCTAGGTTATGCTTGTCAAGGAAATGAATGGAGTTTTTTTATGCTCTTTTCTTCCAACTTTGTACTCAACAGGTATTTAATTTACTTTTTGCTAGAAATAGTAATATCTCAGAATCAGATTGACCTACTTTTGAACAATTTTCAACTTGAAGATAAGCACATAGTGTTTAATTATGATATATACCATAAATATTTCTTATATTAAATTTAATCAGTTGCCTCATTGACAGAAATTTGATCAGGATGGGTTAGTGGATTTAGAAAGTGACTTAGCATTCCATGAAACTGAAATGATTTCTGTGTGAATTTCGGGACTAACAATGATTCAGGAAGGAGCATTTTCTCAGTTCTTTAAACTTCTTCACCTTTTTGTTTCTTCAGTGGAGTAAGAGTACAGTGTAGCGATATCTTTTTTCTTTACAAAATTCTTATCAAATGGCCAAGTAAGCTCACATGACTGAGTTGGAAAGATCTGTCAGAACCTCTGTGGCCTCTTAGCAGTGGAAAAGAGTGGTTATTTTAAAACCAGAAGAGGTGTGTTAGAAAAAAAATAGCTACCTGTTTAAATAATTTGTTTTGGTGGCAGTATGAGTTAGAGGATGATAAGAAGGTAAACATGAGAAGGTTGTACAAAATAATTAAAATAGGTATCAAACAAAACCCATAACTTTTTTGAAAAAATACTTGGACTGTTTTTTTTACTTGATTATGAAGTTCGGAAATACATTTTTAAAACTTGAAATGAACAACACATTTATATCTCAGAATTTAATTTTTTTCTGTCTTTTCATTCATGATTGGTTACTCATCTGCATGTTTATGTGCATTTTCAGATAACTGGGTGGGGTGTAGTAGTAACACTTCTTAAAGTATTAATTAAGCAAACCTTTGATGAAACAGAATATATTTTAGTGTTTAAAGTAGATCTTTGTGGTGAAATATTTAGTTAACACTGAATTTATGCTCATATTTTGCAGATGTTCTGAAATTAATAAATATAAGCTTTATCCCTGGATCCACCAGTTTAGCAATAACCGGAGGTCAGCTGATCAGATTCGACCCATCTTTTTCCCTGATGTTGACCCTCACAGTCTTCCTCCTGGTTCTAACTTTTCTATGACAGCAGGAGATTTTCAGGAGATATACTCAGAATGCAGTAAGTTTAAAGCAAGCATTTTAAAGGTCTTGTACTTTATTCTAAGTTTAATGAGCTAATTTTATACTAAGCTGAAGTTTTGGTCATTCATTTTGATGGCAGAATATGATGTATGCCTCAGTGACAATTTAGAATATTTTAAAGGTCATGTATAAGGCATTGATGGGAGATCGAAAGAAGTATAAGATCCAACGATTAAGAAATTTAGAATCTGGCCCTGGCCAGTTTGGCTCAGTGGTTGGAACATCAGCCCGTGGACCAAAAGGTCTCAGGGTTTAATTCTCATCAACAGCAGTTACCTCAGTTACAATTCAGTCCCCGGCCCTGGTCAGGGTCTTGCAGGAGAGGTAACCAATCGATATATCTCTCTCACATTGATGTTTCTCTCTCTCGCTCTCTACCCCTCCCTCCCTCCCACTCTTATCTGAAGATAAATGCAAATGTATCCTTGGGTGAGGATTTAAAAAAAATGAAATTTAGAATCCGTTGCGCCTATTAATAGAAGACAACATGTAAACAAAGTTCAGATGAGTAGTAAACGCAGTAAAGAGGGAAGTGGGTTGGGTGAGAAGGGAGTTCTCTGTGGAGAGGCTGTGACTTGAAGGATACGGAGGAATGGCATTCGAGGCAGGTAGAGGTACATAGATACGAGTGAATAAGGTCATTGGGGAAAGGGAGGTTTATTTGGAGATTTAATGGGAGATATGGCTAGAGGAGTAAGTTGGTTCCAGATTGCGGAGGACCTTTGTGATCAGGCTATGAAGTTTGGACTTCAGCCTGGCAAACTAGTGAAGAAATTTGTGCTAGGTATTAGGAAAGGGGAGATGGTAAGGAGGAGAGAGGCGGGGGGCTGGCAGTGAGAGGAAGAGAGGGAAATGTTCAGGGGTCAGTAAATCATTCATTTAATGAATATTTGTTGAACACCTGCTAAGTGGCAGTATGTTCTAGGCACTGGAAAGAGCAGTGAGCAAAACGAAGTCCCTGTACACAGGAACTTATATATTCTTACAGGGAGAGAGAGGCAACAACAAAGTAATATTATGAGGAAGAAAACTATGGCAGGGTAAAGAGGGTGATTGGGTCCGGGGAGGGACTGCTATTTTATACAGTTACCTGGGAAGGTCTCTTTAAGAGCAGAACTTAATGAGAAAGTAGGGCTCTGGCTGGTTCGGCTCAGCGGTTAGAGCGTCGGCCTGCAGACCAGAGAGACCTGGGTTCAGTTCCCACTAGGGACACGTACCTCGGTTGCAGTTTGTCCCAGGCCCCAGTTGGAGTTGTGTGGGTGGCATCCAGTTGATGTATCTCTCTCTTTCTTTCTCCCTCTCTCCCTCCTGCTCAATCTGAAGATAAATGCAAAGAAAAAAAAAAAAAGATGTCTTTGGGTGAGGATAAAAAAAAGAGAGAGAAAGTATGCCTGCAGTCTTTCTGAAACCTTTCAGAACTGGTAGTTAATGTTGGTTGAAAGAAATCACAATTTAAAATTCAAATCATTTTCACTGATTATAACTGAAGGCAAGTAAATAAATTACAAATACAACTTATATCATTTGTTAAAGCTATATAGTGATATAAGTTATAAAAATGATTTCCAAATGGATTACTTTATCAAATTGTTAATAAAAACTTTTATGAATTGCAAAGTTTATCTCATAAATTTTGATTATTCAGCTACTTTGATTATAGTAGTTGATTGGAAGAGTTTAGCTTCTATATCCCTGAAGTTAAATGAAATATTAATATTCTGTAAGAAGTAACTGGTACATTTATGGAATTAATTAAAAGTCAAAATAATATTACAAATGTAGTAATTTTATTTTCCTTGAATAGATACCTGGGACTGTATTGCTACCTGTTTCTTCATAGACACAGCTCACAATGTAATTGATTATATTGACACAATATGGAAAATACTCAAGCCAGGTGGAATTTGGATAAATCTAGGTAAGTTCCTCAGTATTTATTAGGATTTTAACTCTCCTTCTTTTGGTAACTTCATGGTACCAAATGTTCACAAAAGTTATAATTATGTTGTACATATTTAAAAACCTCTGCATTTTCCTTTAGACTGCATCCTACTTAATGGTGCCATTCCTCCAATCCCAGCTAGTTCCTCCATGAGTAGTGGAAGTCCCCAAGCTGCATATCTCACTAGGTTTCTCACAGCATTCATTATTTCAGAGTTCTGATTATTAATTTGATGATAATCTTTACCTCATCTTCCCCACCCTCCACTTTATGGAGACAACAGTCCCGTTAACAAGAAAGTGTTGTTTCCTTCTTTCTATAATGAAACATTTCAGGGAAAGCACTTAGCTATCCCATGAAAACCTCCTCCTAGTACATATACATACTGGGGGGGGGGGGAATAGGTGATCACTTTTGTGACTACCTTGAATTTAAGAAAGAATACAAATATAATTTCATATATGCAGAAAACTTACTGCATTCTGATGCTAGGTGCTGGAAATCAAATGATGAGTGTGATGTGGTCCCTCCTAGCCAGATTATAAGGGAAATTACAGTTTTATCCTCCTTTTTATTTTATTTTTAAATTTTTTTTTATCCTTACTCGAGGATATTTTTCCATTTTTTGTTCAGACAGAGTGGGAGGGAGAGAGAGGAAAAGAGAGAGAGAAACATTGACGTGAAAGGGACACATCAAGTGGCTGCCACCCGCACGACCAATCAGGGCCAGGAACAAACTGCAACTGAGGTACGTGCCCTTAGCGGGAACCAAACCCGGGTCTCTCTGGACCGCAGGCCAATGCTCTAACTGCTGAGCCAAACTGGCCAGGGCTATCCTCCTTTTTAAAATATCCTTTTTCTTTAAAATAAAGGGAAAATAATGACATTATCAAGGTAAGTATAATTTTCTTTTTTAGTGAGATATATAATCCATGTTAAGTGAGATATATAATCCATGTTAAGAAAGACATGAGGGTTAATATACTACTTAAAAGTCAGATATACATTGTTTGAGTCCTTAGCCTTCAAGATTGGTTTGGTTCTGTTGGTGGATTCTATCACCTGCTCTTTTTTAGTGATGTGAGTTCACCAGGGACTTTGCCAGTAGGACTAAGCGTACGTATAGTAGTAGGCCTTTTCCAGACTTCTCTTTCGAATGCCATGGGACAGATGAGAGCAGCTAGCTGTATGATGTAATCATAATATGAAACAAGTATCTCAAACGTTAGGTCTTCTGTAAAAGACAAGTATTTATTTTCCCAAGGAATGACTGAAATAAAACATTACCTACTGGCTGTTTGCTCACTGTGGGTTAGGCATTGTTAGCCACTTATGAATACCTTGTTTGATCTCAAAACAATCCTATGTTGAAATGGCATTATTGCTACTGTATAGGTGAAGAACCTGAGTCTTGGGTCAAGTAGCTAGAAGTCAGGTACTGGAGAGTCAGGATCTGATTCCTGGAGTGCCTAACCAGCTCCTCTGCAGGCTTTCGCTGGATCGGCTTATACTTAGCATTAATCTGACAGTGTATGTATGTGATTAAAATTTTGATTCCAGTTACTGAGATATGGTAAGGTTTTTGTGTATTTCTAAAGCATTCAACTTAACTTTCATAGAAACAACTTTTCTTTTTGGCCATTTATTTTATTGGTTCATTAATATTTTATTGTTTATAATAAAAATAATTATAACTGCCCGGAACAAATAAAATTGGCGCTTGGGAAGCATACTGTTTGATAAGAGTAGACGTGCCAGGGAAAGGCCCGTGATTGGTCGTGAGCATCAGAGGTAATGGGGCATGTTGGTTAATGGGAGATCAGTTAGGAGAGCTTCTACTCTTACCACAGAGTTTCTCAAACAATTTTTAGAATTGGAATAGGGAGAGAGACAGTTCTTAAATACAGTCATTTGGAAGGTTAATACTTTGCAAATAAAATTCTTCCTATGTATAAGTTAAAGAATTTAAAAGAATAACATCTGAGTCAATTTTTCCTTAAATATCCATGTGCTCCAGGTCTCTATTCAGTGTTTTTCACTTTTTATGCCGTACTCATCCCTTACTTTGTATTAGGAGATTACTCCAACCTAATCCTGTTGCTTCTCTTACTCTTTGAATTCCCAGTCTGAATCTGGTCCAGATATCTCTCTCTTATGCTTTGAGCCACTATGTCCAAATTGGATGCACCACAAATACTTCCAAGTCTGTGTATGTCAAGGAGATGATGCCCATGTTTCCCCCATGCCTTTTCTGTTCCATTGATTCCCATAATCAAAAAACCAGGAGAACTCTTTTACCCCTTTTCATACTTATCATCTGTACTCAGTCTACAAATTGTATCTCCCAAAGCTCCTTAATAGCTCTTGAGCGTTGGCCTGCGGACCAGAGAGTCCTGGGTTCAGTTCCCACTAAGGGCACGTACCTCAGTTGCAGTTTTCCCCAGCCCCGGTTGGGGTTGTGTGGGTGGCAACCAGTCGATGTTTCTCTCTCTTCCTCCCTCTCTCCCTCCTGCTCTATCTGAAGATAAATGCAAAAATGTCCTTGGGTGAGGATAAAAAAATAAAATAAAATAATAATTCTTGAATTTCTTTCTGCCCCAGGGTTTCATAGTTGTGGTACTAGTGACATTTGGGTGTGGGGAGGATTGTTCTGAACACTGTAGTATGGTTAGCAGCATCTCTGGCTTCTACCTACTAGATTCCAGTAGTATTTGCCCAATGTTGAAATCCAAAAATGCTCATGTGTGTGTATGTATAATTTTTTTATTTTTTATTTTTTTAATTGGAAAGGGAAGAAAAAGTCTTTAAGAGAAAATTTACCCAGAAGTGAAATAGACGACATAAATGTCCACGTTATAAAAGAGTGAACGTAAATGATCCATATAAAGGGAGGAAAAGCTTTTTTTTTTTCATTGATTTATTTTATTTTATTTTTTTAGTGAGAGAGGAAGGGGGAGAGAGAGAGAAACATCAACGTGAGAAAAACATTGATCGGCTGCCTCCTACACGCCCCCTACTGGAGATCGAGCCTGCAATCCAGGCATGTGCCCTGACCAGGAATCAAACTGGGACCTCTTGGTCCATGGGATGATGCTCAATTCACTGAGCTATAGCGGCCGGGCAAGGGGGCAAAGTCTTTAACCTTCATTGCTAGTCACATAAATTTAAATGAGATGCCATTTTTTACTTGTTGTATTGGGTAGGTTTTTAAATTTTTTTTACTTGAAGTTTAGGAATACAGTAATAAAGCCTTCTTCAGGGAAAACAATTTGATAACATATGGAAAATCTTAACACTTCATACATTTGGACAGGATTTGGCAGAGTACAGCCTACAGGCCAAATCTGGCCTTCAGCCTATTTTTGAATGGCCCAGCAGTAAGAATATTTTTCACATTTTTAAAGGTTTGGGGGGAGGTGGAAGTTATAAATATGGATAAGTGATTGAGACTGTAGGTGGCCCACAAAGCCTAAAATAGTTGTCATCCAGCCTGTTACATAATTGCATTCACTATTGCATACCTTTGTTACATTAATTATACTTATAGAAGTCTGTTAGAGGAAAATAAGATATGGACAAAGACTAAAGAGTGGATTAATAGCCAAACATCCACAGCAAAAACTTGAACTGAGCCTATATTTCTAACAGTATTAAAATGGGTAAATAGTCATAGGATAGCCATATAGGAAAATAATTCTCCAGAAATGATTAATTAAAAAAGGACATGTTCCTAATGAAGTATAACATGCAAAACTGAATATGTACTGTCTCATACTAATGCATCAAGGGAAGACTGCAAGGAGATATGATGTTTTCAAGTGGTTGTCTGTCAGTGAAAGATTAGTGATGGGTTTGATTTTATTTGTGTGCTTTTTTCATGTTATCTCAGCTTTTTTTTAGGAGAGCTTGCATTATATTTATGGTCAAGGAAAAAAATGTTTCTTTGTTCCTCTGTTAGGTCCATTAAAATAATGTGAAGAGACACGAGAGTTGAGAAAATAAAGAACTCCTTAAGGAGTATGTCCAAGTTTTATTCATCTTTAATATCCAGTGCCAGGCATTTACTAGGTGCTTGATGAATGTTCATTTAAAGAATGAGTGACTAAATAAACATGACAAACTAAGCAGTCTCAAGGAAATCCAGATAAAAGGATGTATGGCCTATCATTTTCCTTGCCAACTCAGCAAATATTTTGTTTAATAAAAATGCTTATTTTCTTCTTTTTAAAATCATCTTTATTGTTGAATGTATTACAAATGCCCCCCATTTTTACCCCATTGACCCCCTCCTCCCCAATCCTGCCCCCCTCCTGCCTTCCACACACTATTGTCAGTGTCCATTGGTTATGCACATATGCATAGAAATTCTTTGGTTTATCTCATCCCACCCTTCTTCCCCCCTTCCCTTTGAGGTTCATCAGTCTAACGACCAATTTATACTTCTTAACCCCTTCATTTTTTTAACCCATCCCTCCAGCCCCCACCCATCTGGGAAGCAACAAAAAGTTCTCTATGTTCTGCTTGCTCATTTTGTTTGTTGATTCAATTATTGATTGATAGGTATTAATTGGCATTTTATTGTTCATATTTTTGTTCTTCTCCTTCAAGAAGATCCTTCAACATTTCATAAATACTAGTTTGGTGGTGGTGAATTCCTTTAGCTTTTTCTTGTCTGGGAAACTCTTGATATATCCATCAATTCTAAATGATAGCTTTGCAGGATAGAGTAGTCTTGGTTGGTTGTAGGTCGTTGCTTTTCATCACCTTGAATATTTCTTGCCACTCCTTTCTGGCCTACAAAGTTTCTTTTGAGAAATCAGCTGACAGTCTTATGGGAGCTCCTTTGTAGGTTACAGACTGCTTTTCTCTTGCTGCTTTTAAGATTCTCTCTTTGTAATTAACCTTTGGCATTTTGATGATGATGTGTCTTGGTGTGGACCTCTTTGGGTTCATCTTGTTTGGGACTCTCTGTGCTT